CCCCAAAACCCCAAAACCCCAAAACCCCAAAACCCCAAAACCCCACATTGGTATAAAAATATTTTTAGATATTTATTAAACTATCATTATATATTTCCAACATATGTTGTCGCTTCCAAATCATTATTTCACATCAGACTTCTTTGAAGAAGACTCAGACAATAAGGTGAATCCTTTCGGAGCTAGTACACTTCAGAGTACAAATTTTGAATCAATAATCAGTCTCTCTGAAAATAATTGGCTATCCAAATCTTCTACTTTGAGGCAACCCGCCAAAGATCCCAAGGAGTCTCAACTTCAAGATGAACTCTATCTGACCAAGACTGGGCACACAACAAGCAAGAAGGGCCGGAAGCCTCTGATCTACGGCCTTGCCAAGAGAAATGACGTCGTCCTCAAATCTGTAATCCGTGCTGTAAAAGGGTTCCATTGGGCATGTTTTAAGAAGACTACCTCCTTCACCACCAAAAGAAAATCTTCTTGCGAGCAAAGAAGAGAGTGCATCCACAAGTACATTGAACAAGAATTCGGAGTGGAGCCGAACCCTCAGTTCTTGGCTACTCTTGAGGCAGTTTTGTTCATGAAGAAGTCGGTGGATGAAGTCAACAATATTTTCAGAGATTTGTTTTACAGTTTCAGCCAGCCCAAGCTTGAGAGATGCATGAGAGACCCTTACTTCAAGTGCTTAGTCTACCACTTTTCTTTTGAAGCAAACCTTGACAAACTGGATCAAGATTCGAGAGTGGGGATCCAGGTTATCCTCAACTTATAAAGCTAGGGTAATAATATCAGAGGAAGTCACAAAGCTTTCTCAAGATGCGAAGCGTCTGTGAAATATGCTCATAAACTAATTGTTTCCATAATTTGAAAATAGTAAAATTCTTCCTTTCGCAACTTCGAAGTTTAAGTCTTGCCAGAAAAAGTGGCGATTGTTAAAATGAAATCTGTAATTGGGGTTTGAGTATTATGAATATTTCAAATATATAGTTATTAATTATCACCTGGAATGAAGGCTCCCCTGTTTTAATGAAGAAGTTTAAAATACTCAGTTATCAAAAAGTTTGCAAATCTATAATTTATAAGACAAACAATTTCTTTGACATATCAAAGAACTTCTGACACAAGCTTTTAGAAATCCTTTTCAAGCCTTGGGGTGATATGCTTAAATGCAAATTCCCGAGAGATACAATATGATTTCCTTTCCTTGTTTCATACAGATTAAGAGATATGTATCAAATACTTTAATTAGAGAGGGTAAGTGAAACAAAAGAGAATATCTGCAGAAAAATATCCAATCAAATATTAATGAGTTATGAAGAAAGTCTTTCTTCCATCTCAAATGCTTTCTCAAGCAACAAAGACAAGACTCTGTTTAGTTTTCATGCCAGAATGATTATAGGCTATTAAGAAAATATTTATAAGGTTCAAATTCAAGAGACTAGACAGCATAATTCTAAAGCCTAGATACAAAGTAGACAGTCTTAAGGAAGTTATGGAGCTACAATATTTCTAAAAATCCAGAGAAAATTCCACTTAATCATGAAGAAGCCTGAAGAGCTTCTTTGCTTATTTATAGCATAACCTAACTCTTGTCAATAAATACAATTAAAATGCCTGTTCTCAAGCCAAGGGTGCTTACTACAAATAATCTCAAACTACAAGAAGATGGATTTTCTTCGACCAGGAAATATAAACAAGAGATAAATAGAGACCTCTTTGTAGCATCTCCACAGCAATACTTTGTGACCTCATTTTGTCAGGGCTCTTTGAAATTACTAATACTATTTCTTTTCTCTTCAAATATGTCTCAAGTTGGTGGAAAACATTTGTATCCTAATTTAGCAGATTTTTACCAATGATTACAAAAATATTGGCTAAATATGATATTTCCATTAAGTTACAGGAAATTTAGGAAACTATTAAGCCCATAAATCTAATACCTTACTTGCAGAGTTCATTGAAGCTTCATCCCATTGTTAGAGAGTCTCTTATTTATGAAGATGAACAAGATAAGCAAGAATTATAATAAGATCAGGTAGCATAATTCCTCCAGTAAAAGCTGCACGTAAGAACCAATACCTTTAAAGAGCTCAATGAAGGGGCTAACAAAAGGATCAGTATGTAATATTATTAAATGAAGTCAAGAAAGTTCTATCATTAAGCAAAATGAGCCAGAATTTACTGATTCCAATAGCTAATAAAAGCCTAAAGCTCGACTATTAAATCAATATTCTCTATTATTACCGTCAGCTTCTGACTGTTTAATGGATCAGCTTTATTAAAGTCTAAGGGCTCTTAGATTTTGTGAATACTTTTGCTATTATTTTTAAATGGTGTTACTCTGGATGCTACCATTACCTGAATTAAAATCTGTATTACCTGAATTAAAATGGAAAGTAAGTTAACAGTAATTTTAATAATATTTGATAAATTCTAATTTCTCCTTCATCTTTTCAAGTGGATTTAACGAATTCCTAATGTTGAATACCTAGTACTGAGCATTATTGGTATAGAACAAGAGTATTTAATACAAAGTTCAACCAAACAGAATGATTATCAAAATTGTTTGAAGAATTTAAAGTTGTCCAATAATAGACAATCGTCTTATCTAATGCTTGATTGAAGGGACTCAGACGACAAACCATGAACCTCATGTGCTGCTGAGGCTTAATTCTCATTTTATAGGAAAATTTTTAATTTTCAAGTCGTTAGAACTACTATTAACTCCTCTTCGAAATATTTACATTAGTGCGAATTTTCTGAAAATTAAGAGTATTGCTCTGAATTGTTTTTATAGATAGTATATATGCTTTGTTCAGAAGAGTTCACGATTCTTTAATCGCAAAGTGCTGAATAAACATTTGAGAGAAGCTCAATAAGATTCATTAAAATATAGTTGAGTTCTTCTGAGATAAGCCAGGGTTCTAAATGTTTCTTCCTTCTAATACATAGCAATATTTGGTATAAAATCTAGGAAAACTTAACAGAAAGAAATCAGAGAATGAGATTAAAGCAGGACAATCAACCTCTGAGTTCATATTTTTATCAATGAGGTATCTTGAAGAATTTTAGTAGATTTCAAGTACATTGTCTCGTGTTTCTTTCTTAAATTATACTCAACCTATTTATCATGGAAATTTTGACACTATTCTTAATCGAAGTAAGTGTTTATTAAACAGAGTATTTAAAGAGAGCTCTCGAATTTAAAGACTCTAATACAGTCCACTCGCATCATGGAGCAACTGTGGACTAGCCTTAGAATCAAGGCTATCCTAACTCTTTCTTCTCTACCCATAACTCAGTACACTTTATTCCATTATGCGGCAAAAGTTTGTATTGCTGCACTAAATCAGGGTGTACAAAGTATGAATTCATTTCAAGCTCTAAACTATTCAATAACGAAGGAGTATCTTCTAACAGAAAATCCCTGGAAATTTCCTACTATTGCTTCTCCTGAAGCTACTCTTCGTTGCATTTGGTCGAAAATTCTGAATTTTCATACTTTGAGCTATCAGTTGCCTCTTTAAATTTAATTTTAATGCAGATGATTGTGTTATCTCATGAATAGAATTACTTTCGAAATTATTTCATAAATTCTCAGATATCCATTTGCCACTGAGATTATTAAAAATTAAGACAAAAGAGATGCTCTTGTTGAGAACAAGAGACTCAGAGATACACCTTGTCGTCGTGGCTAAGCGCATCCTCCACTTCTATTTACTCTTCTAAACATTGAAAATGTTATTGTAAAATACCTTGTTTATTTTGGAGTCCTGATAGAAGAAAGCTTCTTAGCATCAAATTTGATATTTCTTTATTTTTGGCCGATTTTTCAGGTATTAGAAAATATAATTTGATTCTGAATTTGAGCAAATGAAATACTTTTAGAGGATTAAGAAAGATACTCAGATTCTTAATGGACTGTTTACTGATATAATCGAGAGCCTCTAACAGCTTGCTAATTTTTGCTGATCACTAAAACTAAAGTTCCAGACAATTATTCAGGTATTAAAGAATAAACCGAGATTTGGAAGTTATGAAGTATTAACTCATGTGGTAAGTTTTCCAATAGAGGTTAACCTCATCAATAACCCCCATACTCGTAATGGATGCTGAACTTATTGAGCCGATTGGAAATATTTTTAAAGCTTCATTTTCCAGTTTAAAAATATAACTTCTTGAGAGTTTTAATACAAATTTCTCTTTTATTTGCGAATCCTGATTTCTCTTCTCGCTTGGCTAGTTGTTCCTGGATAATATGAAATAAGTGCGAATTCGGCAGTAGAGATGCCTTTAAGGAGAACAGTTGTGATTATGGATGAAGCCAGCCTGTTTGAAGAATCCTAATTAAAACTAAGAATTTTCAGTACCTCCAGTGCTATAAAATTTTCAAAAGGAGACTCAGAATTTCTTGTTTTGCTTCGATACTGTTTAAAGCAAGTGCTAGAGCTATTTATGGGTTAATAAAATAATAACTCTTCAAGGGTGTTCCCAGAATTTATAGCAAAATTTCATTTGAGCCCATCTATTTGCCCTATTCAAAGAGTAGTGCTATCTATTCCCTTCAAGGCGAATTAAAGAAGTCCGTATTAACCGACCAGTAATTTTAAAACATAATAGTCCTGAATCAAAAATAGTGATTAAAACCGAATTCAACTCATAAATCTCAACTCGGGGTTTTGGGGTTTTGGGGTTTTGGGGTTTTGGGG